AGAAATTTTTGAACTCCTCAGCTATTCAGGTGGAGAGACTTGGGCTGATGGGAGGGATCACAGGAGTGGTGAAAGCCGATAACACCTGTATAGGTCTGGTTGAAGAAATGCAGAAGGTATGCTCAGAGTATCGATGCTTTGCTACACAAAGAGCTATTAACAGCAGCCTGGTATCTAGAATATATATACATATAAAATAAATCTAGAAACTTGATAAAAATCAGCCCCAAAAAATTCACCAAAAGATCAACCAAATAATTACAAAAGTAATTTGGATAAGGGCTGACAAATCCTAGCAGACACAGTGAGAACGATGAGAATTTGGCAGGTTGGGCTATCACAGAACACATAAGCACTGCATGGCAGCTGCAATCAGTAAACTGTTCAGAAAAAGCAGAGCTGCTACTTACTTAGATACTGCATTGACAAGGAAGGCATAGATGGTCAGACATCAAATCTGAGCCTTTATCCAATTAACATACGTAGTATCACATTTCATTTCAGAACAGAAGACTGGGACTATATTTCTGGTTCTCTTTACCCAGTATCTGTTTATTGAATTGTCACCTCTGGAAATGGGCATGCAGCAGGTCTACTGACTTGTTATCTTTCCCATGGAAATCAGCTGAAGGTGTTTTCTCTTACTGAAAGGTTCAGGTGTGGTCCCTACCCGTTACTTCAGCTCAGTCAGTGGTAAAACCCTTTCTGGTGTTACAGACTGTTGTCAGACTGGCGGTGACTGTGGTAAGCAGTTGGTCCATTATACAGCAAGATATAGCACTCTGCATTTCTGCTAGAGATTCAGGCAAACGTAGTGACAGGCAAATCCGAAAGCAGTGTTCTTAATCCCATTGTAGGACAAGGAGGGTCTGCTGCAGATGAGCAGTGGTGCTGATCACGTGTGGCATCCTTAACCAAAGAGGCAGTGTTGGGACACCTCTGCTCTCTCTTGCCTTCCCTTATTGTCATTCTTGTAGGATCTGTGTTTTCAGGTTTCCCACTACACCTCTGTGGCAGGGGTTGACCCTGCGGGTACTTTTCCTATCCATTTTTGATCTATATGTGTAAATCAGTCACAGGTTTTAAAAACAAATATATTTAAAAACAAATATATGCCCAATAGGCAACCACCCCTGTAGCTGGAGACTGTCAGTTGCCTCTGTGACTGAGGACTTCATAAGCCAGATCAGCTGAACAGGGATGTGTGACCTCAGTTGACGTTTTGCCCTGTGTCATACATATGAATTTTTTCTCACTGACTCAGTCTGTCATTCAGTTACAGGTATATTTTTCAGCATGACTTACTCTTTATTTCTTGCTGTTCTTCATGTTATAACATTAATTGTGCACTATCACCAATTCAATCATATTTGTGTCAATCAATTAGAGATAATTTGTGCGGATACTTTTGCATTAGCTAGCTGTAATTTTATCCTGTGGTCACATATTGTAGTGGTTTTCTTGATAGTCTTTGAATTGGCTGTTAATAATTAAAAAAACCCATGAAAATGTTGTAGCTTAACTCCTATTTATATGAAACAAAATAATTACATTTTGATTTCTTTTTATTTCCTCACAGTTGTAGCTGTTTCTTGCTTCAAGAACAGGTACATGTGTGGGTGAGTAACAATAGGTCATGGGGTGGTTTTTTTTACCAGTTAAGCCATATTTTCACGGTAGTTTATGTTTTGTCTGCTGGCTTGTTGGCTATTGAGGTTCTTGGGTGTTCTGCTCCTCAGCATGGCCTCTGGCCATGACTTTAGCTTAGTGTACCTCCCAGTTTCTTTGGCTACTGACCTTGGGTTGTCCTTGTTCTACCCCCAAACTCATTAAGGCTGATTTGTAAACTCATAATCTTGTAGGCTCAGAGTTTGACTTTCTCTTTTGGGCCTCTGTGGTCAGACCTTACTCACCCTGGCTGGTAAACTCTTTTTGAAAGTTCAGTGATTTTTCCCAAGCCTTCTCAGGTTCATGGCCCAGTTTAATTATTTTCCTATTAGATTTATTTTCAGATGGATCCTGGATTCTTCTCTGCAATAATCTGTTTGCATTCGGCTGCTGCTGGGAAGTGTCTTTTACAAAGCATGGCTGGGAGCTGTGTCTCAGGTGTGTGGTCAGAGCAGAGGAGAGATGCTGTGAGTATCAGTGTGTACGCCTGAGAGAAAACTGCGATTCATTGGTTTTTGTGAAGGATGTAGGGCTCTATGCTTGCAAATCTCAATCTTTTCCAGGTAAATTTAGTAATCTCAAGTATTTCTCTGCCCCTCTTCAAAAATGAGGGAGTTTTTATCTGTTGTTCCTAAAAAACAACTGTTCCCAGGTCCAAAACAGAAGCATGGCCAGTTATCCTTTACTTTTTTCTAGAATAATTTTTTCTTCTTGGGCTATCTTTCTCTTTATTATTAACTGCTTCAAGTATTTCTATAGCTTTTTGGTCATAAAAAGGGACAAGTACTTTCCTCCTCAAAAGTTCTGTGAGACTCTCATATGCAAAGTACATACAATCTATCCTTCAAAAATAAAATCTTACTATGTAATCTGTGAAATTGTCTATCGATTCATAACAACTCTGTGTGTATTTCACAGAAATTTGGCAATGTTCTGCTTTTTAACTTATTTATTAAACATGACAAAACATTTTGTTATTTTGCACTTGTTATTTAAAAAAAAAAAATCATCCCTGGTTTAAGAATTTTAAAGAAAATCCATAAAACACAAACTCTTGTTTAATTTTTAGTTTGAGTCTTCCAAACAGAAATATCATATTGGTCCCAAATTACATTAGTCATAAGACAGTGGTGACAAATGTATTTTTATACTTGCAGAAATTAGTGTGTTTTACATTCACCCTGCAACAGCTGGTTTAGTCTGGCATTACATTTTTTCAGAGCTGTTGAGGGATTTGTTTAGCCCAATAGGATTTGTATTGATTTCTGTTTCACTTTTTTTTGGTGAGCTTTATTCTTTTTTTGTTGTTATATTGATTCTGAGAGCTTTAGCCATTTATTACAAATTTTGCTATATTTATGCTGTAATTCTACTACAATAATCAAGAACTTAGACCTTCACAGCTACCGAAAACAAAACATCCACCCAACAAACCAGCAACCCCCCAAAAAACCCTTAAGTTGCAGTTAGTTTCTGGGAATCTGAAGTATCTCTGAAAAGGGCTTACCATATTTCTTATCTGCAGATGTTTTTTCAGGCCACTTATATTATTTATTGATAGTTATTGGATGCTACTGCTCATAGCAATAGCTGAAATGTATATGTTGAATGCTGGTATAAGCCAATGAGTTCTGTTTCATGACACATCTGAGTATTTTATCTGTATGGACCAAAGAACCATATAAATACGAGACCATTGCAAAAGAGATGCAAGAATTCTTGTAAATAAAAGAAACTGTAAGTGGATAAACCCAAAGTCTAAATATAAGTTTTTCCTGGTTGATTAACTAAAACACTTAACATAAGCAAGCTCCCTTAAATGAATAAAATGATCAGGACAAACTCAGCCATTCTAGCAAATCCCAAATTTAAATGTTTTGGACAATTAAACCCAGGAATAATACTGCTTTAGCTGTCTGTATATGCTTTGATATGCAACTGTATAGTTTTGCAATATGCCTTGGATTTAATCAAAACTCACAAACAGTAGTTGCCTAACTTTAAAAGAGTCAGATGGTCCCATAGAAGTCAGAGGGACTAAGTTGTTTAAAATTAAGCACATCCTAAGAGGATCTTTCTTAGAGAAGAGACAAAAAAAACCTTTTAAGAATATCAGCTCCAACAGCACTGGTTATTAAGAATAATAATTCCAACCTCTTGGAGTTATCCTAGTTAACCCAGTGGATCAGAGTACTCTTTGATACCAGCACTGCACATCAAACCTTGCCAGACTTCAAACTGCAGCTATGTCCCAAGAGGAAAAAACTTTCTCCATCGCAGGCAGAATTTGGTCAGCTTCCAAAAGTGATTTATTCCTCCCTTCTTAATAAATCATCTTTTGCGTGTTTACGTGTAACAGACACCCTCTGTAGTTTAGAGAGCTCTGGATATAGAAAAGCTAGTGAAGAGCAATTATCCATCCCACTCCCCAGGGGGGAAGCAGATTGAAAATTATCTGCACGCAGTTGGATGTGATGAGATGACCACAGAGTGACCGTGGCTGAGCAGAGTGAATGTTTTCACATGGTCCTGTTGTAAGCACCTAAATCATAAAGTCAGTTCCCACTGTGAGGGTGGGAACTGCTGTAGCAGTTACACATCCTGCATACTTGCATAAATAGGGTTCCTTTTCAACCGAAATTCTTCACCAACTCTCTAAGAATGTGGACTTTTCATTTAGAGTATGGTTTTACCTTTGCTGTCAAGTGCTGAAGCTCGCACTCAGATTTTTGTGGGTTGTGGGAGAGGAAAAGAAGACTTCTGATGTTATCAGAAGACAAGTGCTAAGTAGTGGACTGGCTTACCATGACTGGAGGCATCTACTGATCAGCAGATTTGGCAACTTCTGGACTACCATGCAGTACTGCTGGAGTTGAGCTGTTTCAGAGAGCGTGTTACAGAATTGCATTATCAACACATAAACTAAATAGCCACAGGTCCTGTTAAGTATTTCTTGATGACAACAGCAGTATTCCTCTCAAATAAAACCACATCACTACCTTAAAAATAGGAGATCGTTCATTCTAAAAAAGTGTTACATAGAGAATAGAGGTGATAATACAGGAACTCGGCTGTATGTGTAGGGGTCTGTCCATTCATGGGCAACACAGAGGAAACTGAAGATGGACAGCTGTTGACTTTCAGAATAAAACACAAAATCCCCACCACTTTTAAATTCATAAAATTTTATTTTCATGACAAGTAAAGGCACATAGAAACTGTGGTTTAATCAAACAAAAAAAGTTAATGCAAACCTGTCAAAGCCTGAGTAAAATTGTTTTAAACACCCAAAGACCAACTTCTGTGACATTCCATATCACGTCATGTATTATTCACTTCTCTGAAGACTTTTTTTGTGATAGGTTCTGCAAAAAAGAAAATGAATTACAGAAAATGAAATTTAATGGGTTCACTGTGTTCTTTACAGAGAATTTTTTAAACATTGAGCTGGTTTATTGGTTTGGTTTGGTTTGTTTCTGAGGTTTGACAAGCATGATGAAATTAATGGATAAAGTACAAGCAAGTTACATGGCTCCAACAGAAACTTGTAACTGATCGTGAAGTGAGTAGTACAAATGTCCCATGACTGTTATTCTACTATTGATGCAAGTGGCAGCTGCATTTTCACACAGCTCAATCAGGGGCTCTGAAATGAACCTTTAAAATCCTCTTTGTCTCTTTGTATTGTTACACAGAATGACAATCAAGAAATTTGAAGTTAGGATTGACATGTAGAGAAAGAAAGCATTTTAATAAGTTTTTGTAAAGAATTTGTGAGTGGACAAAATAAAACATTGCATCAAAGGATGCTATTATATTCCTATGTCTCCATATTCCCATTTTCCATTTAACTGACAGCTGGAGGTAAAGATTAATTTATCTCCTAAATGCATAATCTTTTTTAGCTTTCAAGAAACTAACAATTAGTTCTAGTCCCCATATAGGCCTTTCTTGTGCTAAAAACATATCTTTAAATTCTCTTTTGTGCTTCCCTTTTCTGTGAGATATTATATTCCTGACCATTTGGAAATAATAGGCTAAAACAAATGAGAATTGGAGTGCATGTGCAATGCAAGGATGTTTGGCTGTGTATATAGTACATAAAACTGTGTACATAGTATAAAAAACTTATCTAAAACCACTGCTATTCATCTTAAATTACACCTTTGCAACTAAAATTATCAAACACTTCAAATACATTAAAAAATGTAATGGCGTACCATCTGCAGAATTTCAATTTCTATTCGAAGAGTCTCATAGATACTTTCCCAGTCATCATCTTTGTAATTTTCCAATTCTTTCTTAAGCCTGTGTCCAAAAGCAAATACATTTTCAGGTCAGAGAACTGATGCTTGGGTAACTATTTTTTTTTTCAGCTTTGGTCCCAGTTGGCAAGTTGACTTATGTGAGAAAACCCTCATTGATCTATTTGCATGATCAGGATTGAAGTTTGCTACTTTTGTAATTGGCAGTCCAAGATGCTGCTCTCCTGCAGTATCGTTGGATTTCATTCAGCACTGGCATTTGTGATGGCAATGTGAGGAACTTCAGAAAATGACATTTTTGGGTTTTGAAAAGTGTATCTTAACTGAGCGTGTTCTTAGACAAATTTCTGGACCGTGTTGTTTTCATAAACCATGAAAGATTTATGGCCACATTAGTCATCATTTTCCTTATTTAAATGTGTGAATATGGATGTTGATACTTAGGAAGGACCATATGTTACTGTTCCTACTTTCCCTGGGTATCTACTTGCAGCCGCTGGTGGAGACAGAAAGTTGGATGAGATGGGTCCTCTGCGTGACCCTGAGCAGCCATTGCTGTGCAAGCATTGCTCCCCACTCCTCCACACCAGACTCCTCTGCTGCTGCTGCTGTTCTCTCCCCGCTGCTCCTGTTATTCTCCAGCACTTACCAACTGTTTCCCAACAGCCTCAGCCAGGGATGCTCCAACTTTTCTACAATAAGGACTGATTGTAATGCAGAGATTTTTGCACTCAAAAGACCATTGTTTTCCCCCCATTCTTTCATGATTATATAATAGCCTCAGTGACACTAGTAGCAATTATCTGTAAAAATATTGTTTAAAACTATCTTTAATATAAAATATTAGGAACTTAACATTAAAATCTGTTAGGAAATCGGACAGTACAGGGAGCTACCTCTGGACCTGCAGGAAATGGTCAGCAAAACAAACTGTAGTGTGCTGTTTGGTCTTCCTAAATGAGTGGAGATATTCACAGCAGCAATGCTTGCAGGGATAGAACTTCCTTTTGTCTCCTTGAGGCATAAAGCAGTTTTTACAAACAGCTCTTCATTAAATTTTGCCATAGGTATGGAAACAATTTACAAAACAAACCTTAGCGACAGGATTCTCAATTGCTGCAGCTCCTCTCAAAATATTTTCATAGAATGAAAAGAGGCAGAAAACTTAACTTACCTAACACTGTCTACAAACCAGGCCCACAAATATGGAATTTTGAGAACCAGAAAAATGCAGTTTAATTGGGAAAAACCCCTCTATAGGAAAAGACTTTCCAAGGGAGATATCAGTGTCTGGGAAATGGGTAAGATACTAGTCCTGTTAAAAGGAGACACCTAAACTTTGCAACGACTGTAGTGATTTAAATGAATAACTGGTAGGCAAAGGGCAATCTATGCCACAGCTTTTAATAGTCTGATGAATACAAGGTGATGAGATTATACTGAATCTTTCAATGGCTGTCAGAAGAAAAGCACAATGAGAAAGCTGAAGTTGTGTACCCTTAATACAGTTTTACCAATCAGTATGAATATTGGTGGACACAGACAGATTGAAAAAAAGAAGTTTATATTCTGATTCTCATTAAATAGCTAAATTGATACATCAAAGCAGGACCCTGTTTCCTTTGAAGTTGAAAGAGGTGGTAGCAACCATTTTTTCTTTTATATAATAAAATGGGGAATCATTTCTTTAACTCCATTACATAGATAATGCACTGCTTTAGCTGTCCTACTGCATATAGAGTTTGTTTTCTACACAAGAAAACGGCTTTATTAAAAGTAAAAGGTATAGATTAATGTAAGAGGAATATCTGAGTCACCATGTGGTATTAGAATGGTTGCATAAGACTGGACCTTGAGTTAATTTTGCTGTTCCTGTGGAAAATGTAAATATCTTACCATCAATAAGGAAACAGCATGAGCTCTGCGTGTTTGTATTGCAAAGCAGTAAATGCCTCTTCTTTCAGAAATATTTCTCCTGCATTCATAATGCCTACAAGTGTTTGAACAAAAGTAAATTTTGAACTACACTTCAAGAAATGAAATACTCACTGTACTGAAGTACAGTGCTAGTTTACAGACCATTTTCATTGAAAGAAGTTCATTTCAAGGTCTAAGATCAGCTTCTGATCTTGATTAAATCAGCTTAACTTCATTGCCTTGCCTCATTCCTTTTCTTTCTATGTTCTCTGTTAGTGTGAAATCAGAACCTGAATTTATTCAAGATAAAAAAAAGCCCTACTCTGCCTATTTTAGTTTAGGAAAAGACAAAATCTGTTAATCTCGGAGAAAATGCTCTCTCATTGTCTTCCACATGTAAAAGCGGTGCAGAGCCTGTGTACCAGTTGTCAGCGAAGGGTGGTACCAGTCCAAGCTGCGTGTACACTAAAGACAGAACAACCAGAAGATAAGCAGTAAGAGTTGCTTATCTGTGTCTCGGGCTTGTGAATTAACTGCTATTGATGTGCTTTGAAACGGTAACGTTTTGCATATGGATTTAAAAATGTTATTTAAAATATTTTATAAAACTTTTAAATGTGATGACAGCACAGCATGGGGTAGTGGTGATAAAAGACACTCCTTCAAATGTGGTGTTTAATTTTTACATTAATCAATTGATTCTGCTTTCAGGTCTTCCTTCTTTCTTATTTAGACGCTAGATAATTACAGTATGTGCCAGGAATATTATACTCGCAAAACAAGGGCTGTCTGTTAGGTTATGGTCTACACAATTAATGCATTGGAGACGCCTGAGTTACTGAATAAATGATGAAGTTTTACCAGAAGGAATGTGAGACAATGGAACTGTTAAAAAAATCCTTAACCTGGGAGCAGATATAACTTTTTCATTTTTTTAATTAAGATAAGCAGGATATTAATAGTCATCTTTCCACTATCAGATTGAATGTGCAATGAAACTATACTGTCTGGATGGTGGAAAAGTTTTCTGTTACCTTT